TTTCAATTCTTTCACTTCTTTCAATTCTTTCAATTCTTTCACTTCTTTCAATTCTTTCAATTCTTTCACTTCTTTCAATTCTTTCAATTCTTTCACTTCTTTCAATTCTTTCAATTCTTTCACTTCTTTCAATTCTTTCAATTCTTTCACTTCTTTCAATTCTTTCAATTCTTTCACTTCTTTCAATTCTTTCAATTCTTTCACTTCTTTCAATTCTTTCAATTCTTTCAATTCTTTCAATTCTTTCAATTCTTTCAATTCTTTCAATTCTTTCAATTCGTCCACTTTTCAGCTCTTTAAGTCGTCAATTCCTCTTTTCAGTTCTTCAAGTCGTCAATTCCTCTTTTGAATTCCTTGTAATTTCATTTCACACCATTCAATCCGATACTACTAAATGTTATGCTCTTTAACCGTGCACCTCTGTTATATTTGAATCGCGGTCAAAGCGAGTCACGTGATCGCACAATTAACTCACGATTAAAAAATGTACGTAAAAGGAATTATTATTAAGAACAAGGTCGAAGAGTCGATATCATTTCGCTTAGCGTTTTAATCCATCGAGGTCATCAAAATGCAAAATCATCATGAACCAAGGGACGAAATACCATGTAGAGAGGTGTACATATTCATACGTAAGTAAACAGTTGCATAAAACGACACGCATCGCGCGATAGAGCGACCCAAGTAATTTGCAGTAGCTATGTTGATCCTGCTTTACGGGCTGATTTGAAATTCTCCTGTTCCACTGTGTTCCGTGTTTATCGTCATTTCCAGTTGATCTGCGTTTATCGCCGATTCAATTGACTTTTATATTTCGCCGTACTATCACGAGCGGCGATCTGAAATCTTCCTGTTCTCCTCCCGATTTTGCATCGAGGCCTTTTTAAATTCGAAAAATTTATCCTCTGCGCACACTACCGTCCATAAGTATCCGGACACTTGGTTTCGTTACATGAAACACAGTTGAACTTTGTACGAAAGGTATTTAGGGTTATCATATCATTTGTAATAATTATTATTATCTTTTCTGAGGTGTCATAACGTAATAGAATTAATTTTTAAGTACAAATTATACAATGAAAGTGTGAAAGTAAAATTCATGTCCAGAAGTACAAAGTCCAAATTTGTGAATCTAATGAAACGCTTTCGATTCTAAAAAAAATTTTCATTTCTACTGTGTTTCATTTCTATGGTGCAGAACGTATTCAGAGGGTTCTTCGATACGTTTCAAGTGTTTGTAAACTGTTGGTAGATGTTTAGGTTCCCTCAATGGAGATAGGAATGAAGGTAACGCTACGCACTCGACAGTTTCGGTTTAGTTCGTCTGTAGCTTCTTTTCCATCGAGATACGAGTTCCAAACGAGTATTATCAATCGAAAAACGTTCCAGTATTCTGACCTTCGCAGAAGAAAAATCGATTTTAGTTACTGTTGCGGATACTTGAATAACTTTCATGCAACGCGAATGCATATTTCGCTTGTGTCCGGATAGTTATGGATGGTAGTGTATATCGCCGTATCTCGAAGGAAATAACGATATTCGTAAAAAAAGTCGTTAGCAAGATAATTACTCGATACATACGTTAAAAAGCAGCGTATTTCTCATTAAAATTGATGAAAGTTTATTCGATAGGTTTCTTAGGATATCACGGGACAATGTGGTATAAAACCACAGCATATATGGATCGTAGTGGAAGGATATCTTTTGTGTGCACCGTCGCGTGCCGTCACGGTGGCAAATTTCCTCGCTGACGTGCCTGGCGCGTCGGTTATACGAGTTGTTTATACGAGCAATAATTTATTACTTATACCCGTACGAAGCATGGGATCGTTAATATCATAGACGTCAGAACCTGGAAGATGGAGAATGCTACGGAATGGTAACATGCTTAAACGAGAAAGTACGTTGATACTTGAACCACGGGAGCCACGTGCGCCTTTTAATCATCTGAACCCTTTCGGAGTCGTATAAGAACAGTAGATAAATGCTTGCTGTATTTGGTCAATTTTGTTAGGTGCTAACGTCGTTCTTATTGTGTCATACGGTTCTGACTCGGAGATATTTTATGTGAGTGAAAAATTGAGATTTAGAAACTTGGGGGTTAGAGATTTACAGATTTGGAGCGTGACGTTGTGCGACGACGTTTGATCTAGTTGCTTAAGGACTGTTTGTCTAAGGATTATTATTATTATTGAGTACATATATATTGCGCTTCTGATATAATTAGTTGTACGACACAGTCCCGCGTGCGTTATAAATAAAATAAGTTTCAAATTCCTTTACTCCTAGGTCCTCAAGTTCACCCTTTATCTTAACCTAAACATCCTGCTATGAACATCCCTATCTAATTCCGCGAACCTCTATTTACATCACGCAATCTCCAGGCAATAACAGATCATAACTAATCTCCCTTTATCTTCTCTTCTGACACCACCGAGCAATATAAAAGCCCAGTTCGAGTAGCCTCGCGAGCAGTAGCAGTCCGACTAGTCACAGGGTTCGATCCCCTAGTGCTGGACTCTGCTAGTTCCCATCCTAATTCCACCCATTTCCTACCAACTCCAAACTACGCGTTTCATTTATATTACAATTCTAAGTTCATTTGTATTAGTTTATATTCCGACATCATCTTTAGTATTGAATATATTTTATATTTAGTTATATTCGCTTTTAATCATTTCCTATAAACCCGAGATCTCTTTAAGAGCTTTTGATTATTTAAAATACGTATACTCGATTACGCTGGATCTGGTGGTGCGAGACATAGCCGCACGAGATCCATTATATTGCGAAGTCGAGATAGGAAATCCACATCGCCACGGTGGTGCGAGACATAGCCGCACGGTGCGCATATGATGTGTTTGATGCCTTTGCATCTTTAGTCAGCTCATGGGGAGACAAAGACGAGGAGGTCGTAGATACCAATTACGTAAGATCCTACGCACCCTATACCTACCCTGTCTAGCCCCTACTCCGCGACCAGTTATCCGCGAAGTTAAGTATCAGTTATTGCCTATTGATATACCTGTGAAGAAGATCACAGCGAAGGATCTACTACCTAAGGATCCGAGACGAGAAATCTATTGTAAAAGTTAAGGAGGAAGCTTCGGGTGAGTACTGTGTCATACTTGAACACCCTGGGATCCCTGACATACGACGGGCGCACGTACCGCGTGGTCTAAAAGATTGTCAATTCAAGAGCTTCCGGACCTTCATATTGATATCAGCAAAGGTACCATCCGGGACGTAACTGGAGATTTACAACTTTTGACATTTATGGTTTGATAAAGGAATGAATTGGAGAATTGAAGGCTGTAGGAATTGGGGAATTGAAGAATTGAAGAATTGAAGAATTGAAGAATTGAAGAATTGAAGAATTGAAGAATTGAAGATTGAAGAGTTGAAGAGTTGAGGAGTTGAGGAATTGAATTATTGAAGAATTGAAAAATTATATCATCACGAATAGAATAGAATAGAGTGGAATAGCAGTGATACCTTGGAAACTAAATATGTTGTAAACATGATAACTTGGTAACCTGATACCTGATATCTAATACCTGACACCTGACACCTGACATCTGACACCTGAAACCTGAAACCTGACACCTGACACTTGTCACTTGATACTTAATACTTGATACTTGATATCTAATACCTGACACCTGACACCTGACACCTGACACTTGTCACTTGATACTTAATACTTGATACTTGATATTTAATACCTGATACCTGACACTTGTCACTTGATACTTAATACTTGATACTTGATATCTAATACCTGACACCTGACACCTGACACCTGACACTTGTCACTTGATACTTGATATCTTGGAAACTTGACACCTTGTAAACTCGATATCTTGGAAACTTGATACCTTGTAAACTTGCAGATTAGGTGATTTGTGTATCTATAGATTTATAGATTTGTAGACTTATAAATTTGAATTTTTATGGATTTGTAGATTTGAAGGCTTACAGATTATGAATTTCAGAAAAGTGCCTATACAACATAATTATCTTAACCCACCCCAATTTCCTCCACCCATCATCACAATAATAAAATTTTCACATAAAAAAAAAATCTGCAACCTAACCTAAAAATCCACAAATGTATTCTGCATAAAAAAAAAGTAAATACAATTCGTAGAATCCGTAATCGTTTCTGTATCGCAAAGATTCGTGTAGCAGGTATTTTCACGTGCCCTCGCATCCAATTTCCCTGTCGGTGGAACTTGAACGAAAGTTGGCAGCCAGAGTATCCCCAGCGGTCGCGAATCGTCTTGTCGTCTGTCAGCCGTTTTGAAATCTGAAATTTTTATAATTTCAACTTTTCCGCTCGGCCTCCGAAAGGCTCTCGCAGCGCTCTCCTTTAAGGCTTTCCACGGCGTCAACTTTTATTCGGTATAAGGGCTTCCGAACTCGTTTCACATCGAGGAAGCAAAGCAAACCGAGCGACGGGGAAGGTTAGCCATCCTCTTGCTCGCGTTTGCCGGCGTCCCTCAGAGAAATTTAACTTTCTTCGTGTCGTGCCCGAATCGATATCAAGAATACCGCGGTTAACGAGTCGTTTCCTTCGTGAATTTACCACGGCCTGTCCTTACTCAGCGTTTCCACTGTATCGGGCTAATGTCTTCGTCGGACCTTTCGTTGCGGATATAATTTTCATTTCAGCTGAGTCGTACGGTTTTATTCTTCGAACGTGTCCTAATATCCGGCTGTTTCTTTCCTTCGATTATAGATAGCTTTCCCAGTTTTAATCGTGTGTGATCATTTTTAATATACTGCTTCTTTTATTGCGAACAAGGTCAGGTTAGGTTAGGTCAACTAGATTGATCTGAGACATGAAATAGAATTTTTGTGAGACATTCACAAAAATTTTTAATTAAATTTCCACTCATTTTATATATTATAAACATTTTATATATTTAATATAATATTGGTTTAATTTGAATATAGAATACAATGATTTTTATGATTGTTTCGATTGTTTTGTGTAGGTCCATCGTTCTGGGGACTGATAAATCCTCAATGGTCCCTGTGCTCGAAGGGAAGGAGACAGAGTCCTATCAACATCGAGCCTGACAAGCTTCTTTTCGACCGCCACTTGAGACCGGTAGTCGTCGATAAACACAAGGTAATTTATCAAATATTTTCTTTTTGTTAAATAGGGATATTTTGGGATGCAATAACTTTAGAGCTTTGCTATATAGCAATTCTCACATAGAAATTTAAGGATATACATAAATTATTAGAATCCAGGAACATTGTACATACACTACCGTCCATAAGTATCAGGACACTTGGTTTCGTTACATAAAACACAATTGAACTTTGTACGAAAGGCATTTAGGGTTATCATATCATTTGTAATAATTATTATTATCTTTTCTGAGGTGCCATAACGTAATAGAATTAATTTTTAAGTACAAATTATACAATGAAAGTGTGAAAGTAAAATTCATGTCCAGAAGTACAAAGTCCAAATTTGTGAATCTAATGAAACGCTTTCGATTCTAAAAAAAATTTTCATTTCTACTGTGTTTCATTTCTATGGTGCAGAACGTATTCAGAGGGTTCTTCGATACGTTTCAAGTGTTTGTAAACTGTTGGTAGATGTTTAGGTTCCCTCAATGGAGATAAGAATGGAGGTAGCGCTACGCACTCGACAGTTTCGGTTTAGTTCGTCTGTAGCTTCTTTTCCATCGAGATATGAGTTCCAAACGAGAATTATCAATCGAAAAACGTTCCAGTATTCTGACCTTCGCAGAAAAAAAATCGATTTTAGTTACCGTTGCAGATACTTGAATAACTTTCATGCAACGCGAATGCATGTTTCGCTTGTGTCCGGATACTTATGGACGGTAGTGTAACACGTATGTGCTCATATGTAACTATAGTTCGAAAGAAATTTTGTTCGCCCTCTAAAAATGTAGCATATGGTATAAAAAAATTGTCTGAAAAATTAAATTGAAGTCAGCTTAAATTTAACCTTTTAGTGAAAGGTTTGAGTCACACTAGATCAAAGAACAAATCAACACTATTATTTATGTTAATTTTCCCCATGTTGTAATAAAATGCGATTTGAGTGCAAGGATTCTAAATATAATTCTTAATTTATTTGCCCGGTAAAAAAATATTACTAGCAGAATCTTCAGCATCGTTATCTTCGGTAATCAAACCGTGTATCCGATCGTGACCGTGAGATCGATGGAGAAATTCCCCATGGTTCTGTACGGAATCAACGAGCAGCGATAGGGACGATGGAAAACAGGGCAGGGGGATGAATAAATGTTTACTTAATGGAAGATTAGTGTTTCTGCAGACTTAAGGGTATTACCGGGCGTAGAGTGCGAGCGAGACAGTGGCGCGGACGAACGTTAAATAGCCTGGCTGGTAATTAATGGATTTATTATCGAATTAACGAACTCGCTCGGTGAAAAATGGACAGAGAGAAAGTGGAGAGCGGTCCATAGTGAATTCGAAATCCATTACCAACCGGCGACAGCTCGGGGAATACCCTTGGTGTATAGTTGCCGGTGGACGTGAGTTCAATGCGCCTCGATAGAGAGAAGTCTCTTGGCGAAATAAATCATCCGAAAAATGTTAATTTTCGCGCCAAATGTAATGCTTTTTTATCGTGCCTTTTATTCTTCATTTCGATCGTCGGTTTTTGGTTACAGCTTCTTTTATTGGGGTTGTGAATTTTTTATCCGATGGGATTTTAGGGAAGGTGGAAATATTTGTATGTGGTGCGAATTATTAGATTTCTGAATTATTTCTAGGTCAGGTAAAGATACTTGTAGATTTCTGTATTCATAAATTTCTATGTTCATAGATATACATATATGTGTATATACATATGTGTAGGTGTTACGTACAAGTGTATATCACGTACGTATACGTGTATCTACATATGTGTAGTACGTTACATATGAGTGTATGACAATATGCATATCATATACGTATATGTGTATGTACATATGTGTAGTGTGTTTCATATGAATGCATGGCAATATGTATATCGTGTACGTATACGTGTATCTACATATGTGTAGTACGTTACATATGAGTGTGTGACAATATGCATATCATATACGTATATGTGTATGTACATATGTGGCATGTTGTACATATGAGTATATGACAACATGCATATTACATATGTATTTATTTATGTACATATGTGTAGTGTGTTTCATATGAATGCATGACAATATGTATATCATATACACACATTTACATGCACATATGTGCAGCATCTACATATGAGCGCATGTACACATCCACATATGTGTATACATATGTACATATATGTACATCTAACTACACGTATAATATAAATATAAATACACGCCTAAACCAAACCATAAATTTTGATTTAAAAAATTAATAATACTTAAATAAATAATTGCTTATTAATAATACTTTTGCAAAAAGGAAACTATAGATAACGCTCCATGTTCAAGCGCACCTACGCAACAACAAAATGGCGTCGCAGACAACGCGCCTCGCTGCTCGAGAGTCCTCGAAATTCGTGGAGCGTCTACGAAATTCGGTTCTTCCGGGGATTAACTCGAACTTTATCGTGGCGACGTTCTCGCGAGAAACTAACGCGACAAGTTACGGTAACGCGTAACGTGCAGGGATTCGAAATATAAATCGGCCTTACCGCCACCACGGAATTCTCGAACGAATTCTGCGTTGACGTCCACCGGTACAGTTTTATCTTTCCGATCGCATATGTGAAATAATTTCTTCCGTATGGTTAAATTGCTACGTGTATGTTATCAACGTATATGTACAGTAATAATTCTGCATGACTAAAGATTTTTCCATATAAGACATAATTATAGTCATGAAAGTGAAATTTTACTGAAGCGTACTAAAGATTCGAGTGAAATTAATCGCAGCCGAAGTACGAATATACCAAGAATGCGTCATGAGTGCGTCACAAGTATAACAAGTGCGTCACGAGTGCGTCATAGGTATCAAAGGTGCGTCGTGAGTGCGTCACAGATAGCACAGGCGCGTCATGAGTGCGTCACAGGTAACACAAGTGCGTCATGAGTGCGTCATAGGTATCAAAGGTGCGTCGTGAGTGCGTCACGGGTAACACAAGTGCGTCATGAGTGCGTCACAGGTAACACAAGTGCGTCAGAAGTATCACAAGTGCGTCATTAGTGCGTCACAGGTAATAAGTGCGTCATAGGTATCAAAGGCGCGTCATGAGTGCGTCACAAGTATCACAAGTGCGTCATAGGTATCAAAGGTGCGTCATAGGTATCAAAGGTGACTGCGTCACACGTGTCACAATTGCGTCATAGGTATCAAAAGTGCGTCACGAGTGCGTCACAGGTAGCAGAAGTGCGTCATGAGTGCGTCACATGTGTTGTAAGTGCGTCATAAGTGTCAACAGTGCGTCAAGAGTGCGTCACAAATGCGTTATCAGTGCGTCACGAGTAACACGAATATCACAAGTGCGTCATGAGTGTGTCACAAGGGCGATGAGTGCGTCATGAGTGCGTCACAAGCATTGCAAGCGGTTCATGAGGATCTGACAAGAGTGACGAGTGCGTCACGAGTGCGTCGCAAGTATGTCAATTTGTCCAATTTATGTCTCATTCAGCACAAATTAATTTTAATTAAAAATAGCAAATACGTCGACGATTATTCGTTGCATATAAATGTCCGACAGAAAGATCATTAATTTCATACAAATTTGACCTAACAATTATTACAATCAAAACATTGATTTAACAATTATTAATTGTACACAAATTACTGATTTAACAATTATTAACAAAATACAAAGTACACTAAATAACACAATTACAATTTCTATTATCAAACGGTATAACTTAAGGTCTATTCCACCTAAATAAAAAACGTCGTTTGATCCGAAAAAAATTGCCGACAAAAGCGTCGTCGGAGAACATGAAACGCGATATACGCTCTTTGTGCGAGAGCATCGAGGTTTTCTGAAGAATCGAAAATTTCAGCTCACGTGCCGACAATCAGAGTCAGCTGAGACGTCCACGTGATATCCGGCTCGCATCGGCTGCGAGTTAACGCGTAACAAACGAAACGCTTTTCAGCTTTGTGACGCCCGGTGTCGCGTGGCTTTCGTGAAAATCGGACAAAGCGCACGTGGCCAGTCAGTTTTCCTCGAACGAAAGCTCGCCGTGCTTTCCACAAGGAAACGATTCACGGTTCCAAGCGGACTGGAACTTTCTTTGAACGCTCGCCGACCGAGCGTGAAGAGGTCTTGAAAAATGGAGGACCTGTTACCCGCTGCTCTCTCTTCCCTCGTATTACGAATATTTACTTGTTTCATAACTTTGCTACTTCTCGTGCTTTTACAGCTCTTACAACCTTTTTAAGGATTCTCAGAACTAATTTTACAGTTTGCAGAATTTGTTTTCGGGGTTTTTTAGGATTTTTTGGGGGAGGTTGCAAGGCTTTGGAGCTCTTGGATTTTATTTGGAAGTTCTTGGAATTAAAATTTTAGAGTTGCTGACGTAGTTTTAGAATTCTTGGAAAATATTAAGATTTGTGTGAGAAGGACTCGATTGTGAGAATTCAGAAATTTAGAAATTAGGATTGTGCAATATTATGTAGTTTGTGAACTTGAAAACTTGATGGTGGCTTTATAAGTTCATGACCTGATAAATGGAGAACTTGTAAGCTTGATATCTTGGAAACAGAATACCTTCTAAACTTGATATCTTGTAAACTTGATATCTTGGTAGTAACTTGATGCCTTGGAAACTTGATATCTTGTAAACTTGATACCTTGGAAACTTTATATCCTGGTGGTAACCTGATACCTTGGAAACTTGATATCTTGTAAACTTGATACCATGGTAACTTGATACCTCAGAACCTTGACATCTTGTACACTTGATATCTTGGTGGTTAATTGATTCCTTGGAAACAATATATCTTGTAAACTGATACCTTGGAAACTGGTGGTAACTTGATATCTTGGTGATAACTTGACACTATGGAAACTTGATACCTTGTAAACTTGATAGCTTGTGAACTTCATATCTTGGTTTTAATTTGATACATTGGAAACTCGATATCTTGTAAACTTGATACCTTGGAAACTAGTGGTAACTTGATACCTTGGAA